TTCAGCCACACAGTGCAAATTTTGCATCCCAAAAACTGATATGAATTTTGCACAACCTTCTTCTTACCTTAATTCTCTCTATATAAAAACTCCTCTGACTTTCGTTCTCTTTTATAAAAGCTGAAGACCACATCATTTTACTTCTTACAAAAAATAAGGCAAAATCAAATCTAAAGCAAAAGTAAATCAGAATTTACACTCTGTACTCCCAAGGAGCTACATATAAAAATTAAATGGATTGTGGATTTAAACCAAATAGCTAAAATGATCATTAAAAGTCCAACTATACCAGAAGAACTTGTTAAAATAACATTTGGTTTTAAATTTTAAAAGTAGTATTAATAAAATTAATACTGGTTTTTTGAGGTATGCATGTCTATTTCAATTCCTTTATCATCCTTTAATTAATGTTTTCTATGTGTATCAGTTCACACTTCATATGAACTATTAAAGATGTAATGTTGTATATGTATGTCAAAATTATCTTTTTGATTCTTTGTGATACTGATGATTTGAACTTTTCTTTTCATGTTTAATTGATAACATGAAATTCCTTGTTGTGACGGGAAATCGGGAAATATAAATGTTATTTGTGTCTGTGTGTGTCTCTATCTATCCATCTATCAATCTATCTATATGTATATCTGTGTGTGTCTATATATATATTAAACATAATTTTTTAATACGGAAAGTGGGAAATTTCTCATATTTGATACTTCTTAGTCTAAAATATTTTATATCATAAATTTAATTTTTTTAATTTATTTTTAATAATATCACTATACTTTTTAAATTTTATTTTTTAAGTTTGAATCTTTTGAACCAATTGATCAAATCGAAAATCAACCCATACAAATACAACCTGAGTTGTTTGGTTTTCACTAATGGTTAGTTGGTTTTGGGTGACCAACTCCCCAACATACCAGGTCTATTTGGTTGGCCAAACAGCCTACAACCGACCTAAACCGACTCGTGAGCACTCCTAATTTCAGCTAAATTAAAAGTCTAATCTCTAATAAATATCAAAATTTTAATCTCGAACAATTATTGGAAATTTATAGCAAAAATATACAATTATTGAAAATAAATTTATAATAAAAATATAATAATTAACTAATAAAAATACAATAAATACTAAAAATATACTGAATTAGTCAATAAAATAATTATAACAAAAGGACAAACTTATTAAAAATAAATTTATAACAAAAATATGATAAATAAAATAAGTACAACAAATTAAATTTAAAGAGTTAAATTTTAGTACATATAAATATATAATAAAATGGATTAAGATTTTAAAAATAATATTAATAAATCTTATTTTTTTTTTAAAGTTATTGTCTAGAATTACTAATTGATATAAGTGAAATTATTTATTTACACTATTATTTAGTTATTTAAATAATATCATTATTTAAAATTTTAAATATTTATTATTTATTGAGTTTAATAATCTATAAAATTACAATTTATACTATTATTACATAATTTCGTTATTAATTTTATAAAAAATTAAATTATTATTAAATTGAATATTATGAAATCAATTATAAATATTTTTCTACTTTAAGATTTTTTTTAATTTATTATATAATTTCGTTATTTTAACTATTTAACTAGTGGGGACCCGTGCGATGCACGGAATTTATTAAGCGAAAGCTAAACAATAGAAATGGTCATTTACTAAAATGCCCCCTATAGTTTCATGGATGTACTAAAATCTACCATATAGTTAGCATTTTACTAAAACAACACTTATAATTAATTTACAATGGATTTAATCAATTTTCCATTAGATGACCGTGGAAAATGATAGTGTTGAACCTAATGTTCATTTAAATAAATTTAATCAAAAGAAAATAAAAATAAAAATATCATTTTTGCCTTTAATAAAACATGGGCAACCACTCTATTGGCTATATTTGGTCAATTTTGTTTTCTGTACAAAAAAAGTGTTAGGGGTATTTTTGGAATAAAAAATCATGGGCCTAATGGAAAAACAAGCACTCCTTAATGAAATGTTGATTAAATAAGTTGTAAAATATATGTGAAGTTTTAGTAAAATGAAAATTATAAGGTARGTTTAAGTAAATATGTAAAACTATAAGGTGTGTTCTAGTAAATGACCCTAATAGAAATACATAAGTATACAATTGTTTTATATTTCAACTTTTCAAATAAATAATAATTATTCATATTTTATATACTACTTTTAGTAAATTTTTTATAACACAAAATAACAATAATTAATTTCAGTTAGGTTTATTCATCAAATTGATGAAACCAACCAATTTGATCAACTTGATCCGAGTTGGTCGGTTTTCTAGTATTTTAGGTCAGCTTTGGTTCAAAAATTTCCCAATTCGACCAAGTTGGATCAGTTTCACTTTGGCCATTTGTAAACCGATCAAAATCGAATGACCTAACCATGGATATATATATATATATTAATATTTTATATTTTAAATATAATTTTTAATATGGAAAATGAGAAATTTCTCATATTTCTTAGTCTAAAATGTTTTATATCATTAATCTAATTTTTAAATTTATTTTTTAATAATTACATTGTAATTTTTAAAATTAAATTAAATTTTTAAGTTTAAATCTTTTGAACCGACTAACCAAACCAAAAAAATCGACCCAAACCGATACAACTTGAGTGGATCGATTTTCACAAAAGGTCAATCGGTTTCAGTTGGCCAACTCTCCAACCTGACCAAGTCAATTTGGTTGGCCAAATAGCCTACGACCGAACCAAACCAACTCATGAACACTCATAATTTCAACTAAATTAATAGTCTCATCTTTGATAAATAACAATAGTTTAATCTCCAATAGTTATTGAAAATTTATAGTGAAAATACACAATTATTGAAAAATTATTGATAATGAAAAAAATACAATAAGTACTAAAAATATATTAGCTTAGCCAATAAATAGTATAATCTCAAATAAAAGTTTTATCTCTAATAAATATTAATCAATAAGTTATACAAAAATACAATAGATACAATAAGTACAATAAATTAAACTTAAATTTTTTAATAATATAATTTAATCTCCAATAATTATTGAAAGTTTTCTGTTAAATAACAAAACAAAATAAATTTATACATAATCATTGAAAATAGATTTATCACAAAAACAATAAATAATTAGTGAAGTACAATAAATATTAATTTTAGTATATGTAATTATATAATAAATACAGATTAAGAGTTTAAAATTATTATTAATAAATATTAATTTTTTTGTAAGTTATTTTCTCGAATTATTACTTGATATAAGTGAAAGTAGTTATTTACAATATTATGTAAAGATATTAACTTATTATTTATTTCAATATTATGTTATAATTATTTTTCAACTTTTTAGAATTTTTTAAATTTATTACATAATTTCTTTATTTTAACTATTTAAAATCTAGTTATTTTAACTATTTTTGTATTTAAAATATTTAGTTATTTAAATACTTAAATAATATGTAAACTATTTAAATTTTAAAATATTAATTATTTATTGAATTTAATTATCCATCAAATCATAATTTATACTATTATTACATAATTTCATTATTAATTTTGTAATATATTAAATTATTATTAATTTCAGTATTATGTTATAATTCTTTTTCTACTTTGAAGAAATTTTTTAAATTTATTACATAATTTCGTTATTTTAACTATTTAAAATCTAGTTATGATAAATATTTAGTTATTTAAATATTTGAATAATCTATAAAATATTTAAAAATTTTTTATTTGAATTTTATTTATATAAAGCTATTACATATTATTAAATATTTGAAAAACATTTAAATTGATAATTCAGAAAAACTTAATTCAAATTGTTAGTACATAATTTCATGATATATTTTATAAAAAAATAAAATTAAGTTTTTTGTGTTTTAAGTAAATATTTTAAAGTTATATATAATTTTGTTATAATATTTATATAAGTTTTTGTGTTTTAAATTGTTAGTTCTTAAATTTTTTAATCCAAACTTTCTTTAGGTAGATATAGATAAAAATTAGGGAAGAGGATAAATAGGAATTAGAGATAATTTAGGAGAGAAAATCCTTAATGAATTAGAGATAATTTTGAAGATAAATAGATATTAGAGATAATTTAGAAGATAAATAGGAATTAGAGATAATTTGGAGAAAGTGGGGGATAGTGGGGGAGGTAGTTTATGAGAAATTTTAGGAAAATAGATTATTTAGGTTATTGGGAAAGTGCATCTCATTGGTTGTTTAAAAAATGACATGGAATTAAAAAAATAAAAAATTCAAAAAGGGAGAAAATTTCTAGACTTCATTGTTTTATTATATATATATATATATATATATATAATATTTAAAGTAATTTTCATTATTGAATTTAATTTAATTTAAAGTCATTACATAATATTAAATATTTTTTATATAATTATTTTGCTATTTTTATATTTTGTTATTTAAGATATTTACTTAATGAAATATTGAAATAATATTTTATTTTTTTTCGATGTTAAATTTTTATTATTTGAATAAAATTTAAATTGAATAATCCGTAAAATCCTAATTTATATTGTTAGTACATAATTTTGGGATGAAATTTTTTAAAATATAAAACTATTAAATCTATTATAATTATTTTTGTGTTTTTAATAAATATTTTAAAGTTATTATAATTCTTAATTTTTTTTAATTCATACCTTCTTTAAATAGATATAGATAAAAAGTGGAAGAGTGGATAAATAGATAAGAATGAGAGATAATTTAGGAGAAAGTGAATGATAATGGTGCCACTTAACTAGACATTAGAAAAGCAAATCTCACTTTCTTTATCCAGTGGTTGTTAGAGACAATTTATCCTATGTTGTTTCAATATTGGTTTAATGGGTAATTACGTGTGTGTGTGTGTGTGTGCACGCGCATCTAATCTAAGGCTAATTATAAATTTACCTCTTAAAATTAGAATAAGCAATTAAAAGGGTTTGAATTGCACTCAACTTCACAACTCAAGAAATATAAATTGCAGGTGTCCATTTTGATATAATAAGACACCAATAAAAATGTTGGTATTCATTCAACCGATACAACCCCCAAAAAAAAGAAAAAAAAAAGGAAAAGAATTATCATAGAAGAAACTAAACAGACTGCCTAAATCAGGCATGAGCGTGTATGACAATCAGTATGGCCAATAATACTCTACACTAATCAGCCATTCCAATTTTCACATACAGACAGTAGCTTCAAAATTCATACATTTCTCGAGTAAGATCAATTTACAGAAACATAACAAACAAGAGGACTTTACGTTCCTTGAAGTGCGGTAGTGTAGGAATGAAGCCTTTTTGATGACACCAAGCCGCAGCAGAGTAATTCCTCATCATCTAATGCAACTCCAACGCTCCTCTGTATAATTCATGCAACTTTCCTAATAAAGTGGCTTGGAATGAAAGAGTAGAAGGAATTTAGAAGAGCTCCTCTGAGTTGAACTTGTTCCATGCTTCCTGTTTCAATTACGTTAAATAATTAGCCAACAAAATGTGACATTTCAAAAAAGATAAAAACATTGATGACACTTCAGCTAATTGCAGTTTGGCAAGCATTTGTGGTTTTGTAGAAATAAAGCATAATAACGGGCAAACTGAACACTACCCATGTTTATAGCTTCCACTGAAACTGATTCATTTCCACCAAATTGTTTCCATCTCAACAGCACTAGAAATTAATGTTTCTCGGAACAAACATCAGCTTAGTGGGAGTTGGTTGGTTTGTTTTGGTTTTTGTGTTTGTAGTCTTGTACGAGTTGGGGAAGGTTTTTGAAGGTGGAGTTTTGTTTCTTTCTTCTTTCAGGTGACCGCCGGTCACCTTCCTTTGTATTTTCTTTTTCTTTTTTAATAAAATTTTATATTATTTTATTATAAAAAAACAATAAATTTCAGACAATTTTAATGCACATTTCAAGAATCCAATTCCTGCAAAGGAAATATTATATTCATAGTATAAATATGTGAAACTTCAACCAAGGCATGTAGCTACAAAATGACTTCAAGAAAAGTAAGAAATGGATAACTTTATATTAAATAATAAACAAATAAATAAGAGACTTTAATGCAAATTATAAACAAAAATAACAATATCTATTGTTGTAATTTATGAGTACTTTCAGATGTTGTTACAGTACACCATAAATCGACAAAACTGCACGATAAAGTTCTACTATTTAGTATGCATCTAACATCTATTGAGACATTTTTAGAGGGAAGAACATATGGTTTTCATTGATTTACATAAAAGCATATGATAGAGTCCCCGAGGAGGTAATATGGTAGGCTATGGAAAAAGAGTCCCAAGTAGGCATATGGAGCTAATTGACGTACAAGGGTGCAAATTGCAAAAGCCAACATTAAAACTGTAAGACAGATATCAGATTTTGCAGTTACAATAGGTCTTCACCAAGTGTCACTGCTTAATCCTTATTTATTTACATTAGTCATAGACAATGTTCAAAATTTTGTCACGTATTGGATGTACCGTATCGTATTGATCCCACCCCAATAAACGAAATATTAAATATTTTAAAATTTTAATATAATCAGGGATAGGCCATGCATAGACTGACCCCTTGTAAATTTAAAAAAAAAAAAAAACAGAACTAAGAAAATAGGAAGTATGTTGGTCAAATCCCCGATATGCATGTTCCGGCATATCAAGCTGTATCGATATATTGAACCTTGATCATAGATGAAATTGATTAAACATATTGAGGATTATGTAGCTCATAAAATTAGAGCAGAATGAGAAAAATGGAGGGGTACACTTGGGATTGGAGACCAATAGATAACTCGATGTGACCTCTTCCATTACCTTGATTCAATAATTCATAACAAAGGGGATATTGAGGATTATGTAGCTCATAAAATTATAGCAGGATGAGAAAAATGGAGGGGTACATCCTGAGTCTTTTTTTTTTGGTAATCCATCCTGAGTCTTATATGATAGGTGGATACCACTTCAGCTAGAAAGAAGATTCTATAAAACAGCTGTTAAGGCCAACTATGTGTATGGAGCAGAGTGTTGGGTAGTTAAGAAACGACATGTTTAAGAAATGAGTGGCAGAAATGCAATGCTTAGATGGATGAGTGGTAAAACAGAAAAGGATAGGGTCAGAAATGAAGTCATACAAAGGAAATTAGTAGTAGCTCCAATAGGTGATAACTGACAAGATGAGAGTAGATTTATGTGCTTTGGTCACGTGCATGGAAGACCATCTACAACACCCATTAGAAAAAGTGATCTGTTACAAGTTGAAGAGGCTAGAAGAGCTTGTGTCAGTCAGACCAAAAAGGACTTGGGTGGAAATAGTAATGTAAGCACCTATAACTTGATGACAGATATGGCACTGAACAGAAAGAATGAAATGGCAAAACAGGATTCATGTTACTGACAACATATAGTGGGGACCAATGTTCAAAGAACCGGACCTGGAATACAACTAGAAAAGGGAGAGGTTCATGGGTTAGAGGTTCAACCAGTCAAACCGAAGGTCGAACCGTGATGACATGGCATAAGCATATATATTTTGTAGTCATATAAATACTACGTATAATATGTTTCTACAAATATTATTACACTCCATGTGGTGGATAGATGGATAGAGTAGAAATCACTGTTTGCAAATCTAGATGAATTCTTTGTGAAAAGAAAGAAGAAGAAGATGAAGAGTTTCAGCAGTAGAGAAGAAAAGAGAAGAAAGAAAGAGTAAGATGTCAACCGGAATTGAATTGTTTCTGGCCGCCAATCCCTCATTATATTTTATACTTAACTTAAAAGAATAAGAGATTACAAGAATGCCCTTAGTAGGGCGGCTACTAAAATAGCTGAATAGTCACAACTTAAAAACATAAGCTAATGGGCCTAAAGCCCAACAACTTCCTAACTTAACAACTTAAAAATAAGAGCTAAATAACTGGACGCAATAACTAGAAATCGGCCCAACTCAACACTCCCCCTCAAGTTGGGAGTAAATGTCACATTCCCAACTTGTGTAGATCATGCTCCAGCTTGTTCCTTGCAACACCTTTTGTGAGAACATCAGCAAGCTGTAGCTCATAAGCAATGTATGGGAGACAAACTTCCCCAAAAGTCACCCTTTCTCTGATGAAATGTCTATCCACTTCAATGTGCTTTGTCTGGTCATGCTGAACTGGGTTATGGGCAATGTTGATTGTTGCCTGGTTATCATAATACAACATCATAGGTTCTTCTGCCTATACACCAATCTCTCCTAACAAGGAACAAATCCAGAGAAGTTCTGATACTCCATGTGCCATGGCCCTGTATTCAGCTTTAGCACTTGATCTTGCCACCATTGTTTGTTTCTTACTCTTCCATGAAACAAGGTTACCCCCAACAAAGGTGCATACTCCTGAAGTAGATCTCCTGTCATCAAAGCATCCTGCCCAATCTGCATCTGTATAAGCCTTTAGTTTCAACTGTCCATGATCAGCAAACAATATGCCTCTGCCCGGGTGTCCCTTTAGATAAGCAAGAATCCTGTCCACAGCCTCCCAATGTTGGACTCGTGGACCATGCATGTATTGACTTACCACACTTACTGCATAGGAAATGTCTGGTCTTGTCATACACAAGTATAGCAGTCGCCCCACAAGTCTCTGATATCTCCCAATGTCCTTTAGTGGCTCACCTTCTGATGCATTAATTCTGTGATTCCGATCAATAGGAGTACTGATTGCCTTTGTTCCAAGCTTCCTTGTTTCTTGTAGAAGAWCCAAGACATACTTCCTCTRAGAGATAAAAATTCCATGTTTTGATCTTGCAACTTCAATGCTTAAGAAGTATCTATATTCTCCAAGATCCTTAATTTCAAATTCTTTGTGTAGATTCTTCTTCAGGCAATCAATCTCACTTAGATCATTCCCTGTGACAACAATATCATCCACAAACAATTAGGATTGACACCAAAGATCCCCTCCGCTTCACAAACAATGTATGGTCAGATTGAGTCTGAGTGTAGCCAAGAGCAACCAAGGCCTTCTTGAACTTGTCAAACCATGCTTTGGGCAAGGTTCAAAGTATCGATCGTATCGTATCTTTTGAAAACTATACAGTCCGAAACACCTGTCTGTTTCCAGGTGTTTCGAACCCCCAATTTTTTTTAATAATAAAAAGCATGCTAAAAGCTTCACAAAAACCCAAAATTTGAAAAAAAAACTAAAAAAAATAGAATTTCAGCCGTTTCTAAGAGCCGATACAGTACAACCGAAACTCGTATCGTATCGATACTACCCTGTCTCTGGGAGATTGCTTTAAGCCATAAAGTGAGTTCTTAAGTCTGCATACCTTTCCCTTTTCAGCATCATTGTAGAAACCAACATGAAGATCCATATACACTTCCTCTTACAGATCTCCATTTAGGAAAGCATTCTTCACATCAAGTTGAAACAGGGGCCAAGAGTATGTGGTAGCAAGAGAAAGAAGTATCCGAACAGAGGTCATCTTTGCAACTGGTGCAAAGGTCTCTAAGTTAATCAATGCCATAGGTCTGTGTGCACCCTTTTGCAACAAGTCTTGCCTTGTACCTCTCTATACTTCCATCTGCCTTATATTTGACTGTGTAAACCCATCTGCATCCAACAGTCTCCTTGCCCTCTGGTAAGTCCACAATCTCCCATGTTTGATTCTTGATTAAAGGTTCCATCTCTTCTTGCATAGTTGCCTTCCACTCAGGTTTGGAGAGAGCCTCACTGACACCCTTGGGTATAGACAGAGTCAAGAGATGAAAGAAAGCTCGATAGGAAGGAGAAAATCCATTGTAGGATAGGTACTGTGAAATACAATGAGTAGCCCACTTTCTCTTCCCTTTTCTAAGAGCAATAGGAAGGTCCACGTTATCTGTAATGGGGTTGGTAGAATCAATGGGAACTGAAACAGTAGAGGGATCAAGAGGAATACCTGAATCCGTGTCAGCTAAATTTGGAGTCTCCAAGGAAACGGCAGAAAGTGATGTGAGTTCTGCTGTAGTGGAATCAACCTCCCTGTGAAGTCTCTGTCGTGAGTAACATTGAGAAGCAGGACGCAAGGGAGGTGGTAAGGTAAGTGACATAGGATGATCAGGCATAGGAGTGGACATAAGAATTGGAATTGGAAGAGGGATAGACTGCTCATCACTTCCTCAAAACACTCCCCCTGAGAAGGATTCTTCAAGAAGTATATGGACTCAAAAAATGTGACATCCATAGTAACATACCGACTCCCAGAGACACCCAAACACCCTGAGAGGAATATGAAACATCTCCCCCTCAGGAAAAAGGAAACTGAATGGGGTGCTGAATCCAAGTATACGAGAGGGCACCCTGTTAATAAAAAATACTGCTGTGAGAACTGCATCACCCCAAAACCGAACTAGAACTGAAGAATAAGAGATTACAAGAATGCCCTTAGTAGGGCGACTACTAAAGTAATTGAATAGTCACAACTTAAAAACATAAGCTAATGGGCCTAAAGCCCAACAACTTCCTAACTTAAACAACTTAAAAATAAGAGCTAAATAACTGGGCCCAATAACTAGAAATCGGCCCAACTCAACAGCTAGCTTTTGAGTTTTTAAAATAAATTACCAGGGTTTAAGTTTCATAATTCATAGTTTCTTTAAAATATGTGTGTTAAAGCAATATATACATTAAAGAGGCACAAATAAATGCAAGAGACAGATTAATGGTAACAAGGTAATACACATAAATAAGAGGTCTTGGGTTTAAGTCTTGTCATTACCATTTTGAAGTTTCTATCTACCGGGACCAGTTCGTAAGTTACCCAGTTAAACCAGCCAGTCAGCTGGCTTTTAGTGGTTTTCTGGGTATAACCAAACCAGCTAGAGGCCCAAATCATGGCCCAACCGGCCAGTCCAGTCTGGGTTTTCTAAACAATGTTTGGGACAAAGCTTAAATAATAATGATGAAACATTAAAATGTGACATGTTAGTTTGGTATTTTTTTTCCAACTTTTCACTGTATTTTCTGACATTTCAATGTTCTTATAAAATCTAGACAAAACACTTATATTGAAGAAGACAACTTTATTTGAAGGAATGGATCTCATGTCCATGCACAAAATGATAATGTCAGTTGGAGCATAAATTTACATTACAATTTTCAGTTAAACAATTCTCCTTGGTTCAAGGTCTGGATGATGATTATACATTATATATGCAACATAGCAGATATCGACATTATAAAGGATTAAGATTCTTCTGTAAGAAGTAGCACCATTTAGATGATATGCTTCTAAACCTGATGTGCGTTTTTATCATATGTAGAACCACTTTCCCAGAGCACTTTAAAACTTTGCAAATAAATTACATAGTATAAGAAAAATATATCAATGCAACCTTTCATCTATTATGTCTTCTATGTCCAAACTATACTAATGCAGAATTATGTATAAATTACATAATGGAATTCACTTAAGATTAATGGTGTACCTTAAGAAGGTCAAACACCTTCTCTGCTATATATTTTTGTTGAAGATTGGCACCTTTCTGCTGCACCTTATCGGGATGGATAAACAAGGTAGCCTTTCTATAAACCTTTTTAACTGAGGCAGATGTAATCAAATCAGTCAAAGAAACTGGCTGCCAACCACATTCCGGCCAAAGCACCTGTTAATCATTCAATGGATAATGGAGATCAGCTTACATAAAAAATAATGGGTCTACAAATGATCCTTAAATAAAAATAAACTCTACCCTCACTTGTGACAATTTTTATATGATTAACCAATTTGGCAAATCGTAGTAAAGCATCAACCAAAACTCAAAATGAAACAAGATCAGAAAACTTGTACATGAGAAATTGTAGGACTTAGCCTGACATTCTCATGATGCAAACTGAAAATCAAACAATTACACTTCCTCGAGAAGTGAACTGCTGGTCCTTTCACAAGATGTAAGGTGACAATTCATTGTTTCTTTCCCTTGGAGTTGAGGATTCACTATTTAACAGAGAATATTACCCCTGATAGTGGAATGACAAAATAAGATACTAGCCAACTCAAAATACTAGATCCAATGGAAAGTTTTGACATGCTAGGTGCATTTCATCAATTTGAAATTCCTCATCAGTCGTTTCATTATCCTTGCCCACTTCAACTAAGTCTCATTTACCATTCCAGATGAAGGATCTTTTCCCTCCTTGAGATCCTGCTCTGACCACAGCCAAGTTCTACCTCCACTCCAAACAAAAGATTTGGGCCCTGTTTGGTTTCACTTCTTATAAGTACTTAAAAGAAGTGCTGAGACCACACATTAAGTGAAAAATAAGCACTTATACCTGTTTGGTAAATGTCAGGTATAAGTGCTTATTTTCAAAAAAAGCACTTAACAAATAAGCAGCCCCAAGGTGGCTTTCTTTAAGCACTTGTTCAATATGCTTATTCAAAAATTCTGGGATGGTCCAATCCCTTAAAATTTTTTGAAATGCCCAAACTACCCCCCCCCCCCCGTCAATGGAAACCAATGTCTTCTCCATTCGCCCAGTTCGAGCAGGGCAGCGGCGGCAAGAGTTTAGAGGACAACCTGCAACGACTTCACCAGAGTGAAATTGACCGGTGGGTGGGTAGTTTTGCATTTCCAGACGTTCATCTTCGTTCGAAACTCAATTTTCTTTGTTTTTTGAAGTATTTTAACATCTGAGTTGTTTCTTGTGTGATTTCTCCCAGATCTGAAATTTTGGACAGAAACCCCACCTGAAACTTGCTGGCGACCATAGGTAGCCTTCCTAGTCCTACTACTTTGGTCATTTCAGAGTTTCTACCCTTTTTCTTGTATATTTTAGTGAAAGTCATTTTTTTTCGATTCTTCAGTAATATGAACTGAAAAATGATGCAATGTTGTATGTGTGTTTGGTTTTATAATAGTTTGTATGAACAACTACAATTCTTTTCTCGTTCTTGTTGGATATTACACAAATAATAGGTAATTACTGATTTAATTTTTTTGTTATGTTCTTGCATATTCCGAAATTTGCTTCATTATTTTTGGAATTTTAATGTGATCGGTGATATCTTTTTTTAATTCTTATTGCATTCTTGTGGTGTTTCTAGTATTTTTTTGGTCCATTTTTGTTGAAGATTATGTTAATAATATGCTGAAATATGTGGTTGCTGAAATTTTTCTTGAATTTTAACATGAATAATAATATGCTGAAATAAGTAGTATTTTTTTGTAGTATCCATCTCTTTGCATATTTGTGATGTTTTCTACATATTTTWATTAAACCGAAATTTCATTTATTGTTTTATTATTAATATGAATAAAAATTATTATCCTACTTTTTTTTTAAATCTCTCATTGCATTTTTGAGATGCGTTTTACATTTTTCTTTCCATCTCTTTTCATTTATATGTGTGGGTGAAATGAAGGCTAAAATTGCCATTTATGGTAAAATAAACACTTGTGGGGAAAATAGCTCACCAAACATCATCCCCACCCCAATAAGTGCTTAAAAAACCCAATAAGTGATTTGGCAAATGGGTCACCAAACAGCATTAAGTGGTTGTTAAAATAAGTAGTTAAAATAAGCACTTGTGCAACAAGTGCTTATTTCTCAAACCACTTTATCACCAAAACATAGCCTTAGAAGGGAGGACATCCACTTCTTCCATTGTCTTGAATGAACCTTGGAAGGCTTAGAGTTTTATAAAATAGCCCTCAAGAAAATGCTTTCATATTATACTCCAATATGCAGTGGGTCTTAAGCATCCCAGGGCTACTAATGGCCTTCAGTTTGTCCACACTGACTCTAGTAGAGAGGGCCTCTAGCTGCTTACCCAACCTGGGTCCAATCTCCAAGCTCAAGAAAAAGCACCCCTCCCCCCTCCAAGCTTCTAAATTCAACATGTTTGGGAGCACAATTCAAAACCTACTTGAATGTCAGCATTCCCCTAAAAAGTGGAACAATTCAAAAGTTGCACCTGCCTAGGCACATAGGTAATGTGCATTTAAAGGCATATGCCTTGCCTAGGTCCAACCGTCCAAGTGCAGCCCCTTTGAAAAGGAGTGTGCCTGGTGCACCTTGCACCTTAGCCCTTTTTGCTAATGTTGTTCATTCATCTTTCTTGATACAAGACATTTTTTAAAAGATAGGGACTATACTTAAAATTACAAACCAATCTTTTATGTATAGGCTAAGAATTTAAGACCCTAGCAAGTACATGTTTAGGCTTGCCTCAAGGGTCTTGGTACAAAGGTGGAGTGTAGAATTAGGAACGCAAGATATTTAATGTCACATTAGCTATTCAAAGTAATGTGACTAGGAAAGATAATAAAGAGATTGAAAGTTTCACGAGCTTGAATTGTTTAATGCTTAAACATGTTTTATATTTATGTATTTTGGTTTGAGCTAATATCCTGTTTAAAACATTTAGTTTGAAATTTAAGTGCATTTTAACTAATACTATTTTCATATTTTAGATTTATTTAATTTTCTGCATTTATTTTGAAAATTTTAAAATTTTGCATCTTGCTTCAAAAAGGCATGTACCTTGCCTTGTGCCTTGGGCACGAAAAGCCCCTTGCACTTCTTTGTTCCTTGCACTTTTAAAACACTGGACCATATCATCACAACCAGGCTCTACACCCAGAGATCATTGTCTTCTCCTACACAATCTTCCCCAACATCAATGTAGCAGCCAAAAAGAGCTCCTAATATGCCTTGGGCACAAAAAGCCCCTTGCACTTTTAAAACACTGGACCATATCATCACAACCAGGCTCTACACCCAGAGATCTTGTCTTCTCCTACACACTCCTCCCCAACATCAATGTAGCAGCCAAAAAGAGCTCCTAATATCCACCTTCTATGCCTTGTCACCAATACTAAAGTACATCATATGTTCACTATGAGGAACTGAATGATGGTGGATACTCCCATGTTCCCTGAAAATCTCACTATCACCAAATCTATGAAGTTGGAACTCATCAACACTTTTTTTTTTGGAAAAGGTAAGGTATTTTATTAAATCAAGAACCAGTACAAAGGAGCCTAGGCCATTAGAGGCTGCCTAGAGCCACCACAAATTACAGATACATCCAGTTCTGAGATCTAAACAACA